TTGGGGTAGAAGAGTGACCAGCGGGGACTGGGGGACCCCTGGCCAGAGGGAGCCTCTGTGCACATAGCCCCCCCGTGACAGTAACAGACAGGGGGGCCCCCTGAGTGGCCACCTGCCCATGGACAGCGTCCAGAGGCCTGGCCGGCCCCGCCCTCACGCTTACCTCCCAGGCCTGCAGCTTGAAGCGCAGGCCCAGCTGCGTGTAGTCGATGGCGGCGTTCCCCCTCAGCTGGGCCAGGGCCTGCTGGAAGTCCGCCAGGGCCTCCTGGGACCTGCAGGAGCCAGGGCCGCGGCTTTAGGGGGCAGCCCTGCCCAGCCTGCCCCGCCCAGGCTCCAGGGACACCTGCTGGGGCCGTGGTGGTCACTCAGGTCCCAACGAAGGGCTCAATGCTCAGATGTGGCTGCATCTCGAATGTTGGGTGGTGCCCAGCTCTGAATTCTGGGTATCTCGCTCCCATGCCTGGGTCCCGTCTGTACCCCAGACCGTCTCTTGAACCTCAGCTGTGCCCTGGGCATTTCCCTCCTGCTTCTCAGGCCCCCCTTCCCGGTAGAGCCCCACTGAGAGCTCCCTTCCCCCACCAACCCCCTGCCCCCAGGGAGGCTCCAGCTGAGTGTGGGGCCATCTGTGGGGCTCATCTTGGGAAGGGCCACAGTGCGACAGCCTGGTGAGCAGCGAGGACCCCAGGCACCCGTGGACAGACCCCTCCAGCCCTGCCTCAGCTTCCACAGGCCCTGCTGCAGCGAAGGAGCAAAGGGGGGGGGGGGGCGCCCTCCATGGCGCTGCGTGCGCCTCACAGTGACTAGAGGCTGTGGCTCTGCCCTGCACCCTGCTCCGTCCAGTCCCAGGGGGTGACCCTGGGAGGGGCGGAGGCAGGCGCACAAGGGGCCTTCAGAGGAGGAACCCAGAGCCCTGCGCTCACCTCCCCACCTGGAGGCGGGCCACTCCGCGCTGGAAGAAGCCAACAGCCAGGCAGGCATCCTTGGTCACTGCCTGGTCAAATGCCTGGGAAGAAAAATGCCCGTGGAATGCCAAGGTCTGTAACCCACCACCCCGTGTCCCAGACCCGGGCCGGGCGCATGACCAGCGACGGGCCAAGGAATTCCATCGGCCCTGGGACAGCCGCCTGCAGGGTCGGCCCCTGCACCAGCCAGAGGCCCTCGGAGCTCTCGCCTGGGCGCACAGGGCATTCAGGCCCCTTCGCTGCCACAGCCTCAACCCCACCCCACCCTGAGCTCCCCAGATGCCTTTCCAGGCTCAGAGCACAAGGAGGTCCTGCCGCACCATGTTGTTTGCCAGGAGGACCAGGGGAGCCGACCGGAGGCGCGCAGATGAGTCACCTCGGGATGCAGTTATGCAAGACTTTTGTCTTGTGGAAACCCTATTTTGGGAGCTCACACGCAATGACACACTTATCTAGTGGAATCAGAAAGAACATGCAGCTCTTCCTAAACCACACTCGGGATGACGTCATCTGCTCCTGAGGAGGACGGAGGCCGAGGGTCAGGGTCCTGCTCTCGCAGCTGTGGGGGGAGGGGGAGGGGCTTGTGGCTGAACCTGACCCAGGTGGGCGGCGCGCAGAGACTGCGGGGCGCGCAGGGCAGTGACGTCGTTTGTTCGCTCGCTGTCCCGCCCGGGAGCCGCCAGACCCAGGCTCCTGTGGAGCCCACACACAGGGTGCGGCCCCGCGCACCCCCTCACCGGGCTGCCCCCTGCACGCCCCACACTGGGGATCGAGCCCGCAACCTGGGCCTGTGCTCCTGGTTCATAGGTGGGCGCTCAGCCCCTGAGCCACCGCGGCAGGGCTGCCTGGTTGTTTTTTTAAATCTCTGTACAGTGGGGCCTTGACTTACGAGTGTCCCGACTAGCGAGTTTTTTGAGATACCAGCTGTCCCTCCGCCGACTTTTTGCACTGAGTTGACAGAGTAATTTGAGAGCTTGTTTGGAGGTTCTAGCAGGGGAGCGCAGCTACTCCTATACCCTTGACCGAAGACCGGTCCCCTCCTGGGGGGGGGGGGGGGTCGTCCTCTTTGACCAAGCGCGCAGCTTGGGGGGGACGCACATGGATCAGTGAGGGAGGAGGGGGACACCCGCCTAGCCAGCCAGATCAGCCCAATCAACCCTGGCGATCAATGGGGTGACAGAGGTCGCAGCCAGATCGCCCTCACATCCACACAGAATAATTTGAGTTAACGAGCTCGTTAATGAGCTCCGTCTCTGAACGAATTAAACTCGTAAGTCAAGGCCCCACTGTATTACTAATGAGTCCCATCGACTGCTACCTGAGGTTACTGACCTCAGACAACACTCCGGCTCCTCCTCTGAGGAGGGGAGCCTTGAACACGCAGACGCCTCCGCCACACCTGCGTCCCTCTCCAGTTAAATCGCAGTTTAGGCGGATGTGATTGACTGGACGCCTGTGACCTGGTTTGCTGCTGAACTACCTGGTGTCCAGTGATCGGATTCCCTTCCGTGGACAACATTTAACGGAAAGGGTCACCGAGAGCTGTGGGTCCGTATGCAAGGCCAGACATGGCGGAGGGTCCCCGGTGCATTTTGCCCAGTCCCTTCGCTGGAGGAGTTTGGGAGGCCCTGACATGGATGTCTTTATAATATATATATATATATATATTATTGATTGCAGAGAGGAAGGGAGAGGGAGAGAGGGACAGAAACATCAATGATGAGAGAGAATCATGGGTCAGCTGCCGGGAGCCGGTCCATGCTTGCTGTTTCAAGGGTCCTGGCATATGTGGCATGCTGTTCTTAATATGTTTGCTCACCTTCTTGGCACTATGTGTTTTGACCAAGGTCTCTGAGAAAGGTTGTTTCCCCAGGTAGGGATTTTCCCCTGAAGTTAGGGAGGGAATAAAACCTCTTAACTAAGTGCCAGGCGGGTAATTAATCTCTTTAACTATGAACAATCATGCTTAAGCTACATAATCTTTACTCCCTGGAATGGAGATAAGAAACGCCCTAACCTTTGTAATAGAGATTGATAGGATTGAATCAACTGGTATAAATACAGATGTAATAAGACAGCAAGACACAGAACTTAGAATACGGAACCAAGAGAGAGAGAACCTAGGCACAGAACCTACACAGAACGTTCTCTAGAGACAGAAGAACTTCGCTGGAGAGAACATGGCAAAAGATCCTGGACAGAAACTGGCCTCAGAACCTAGAGACAGAACCTAATGAGAGAACATGGCAAAAGATCCTGGACTGAACCTGACTACAGAAATTGGCAAGAGAACCTGACTAGAACCTGGTGACTGAACCTGGCTGGAGAACCTGGACAGAACCTGGCTGGAGAATCTAGCAAGGGAACATGGCTACAGAACCTGGCTGGAGAACCTAGCAGGAGAACATGGACACAGAACCTGGCTGGAGAACCTAGCGAGGGAACATGGCTACAGAACCTGGCTGGAGAACCTGGAGAACCTAGCAAGAGAACATGGACACAGAACCTGGCTGGAGGTCCTAAGCAGAACTTCACTGGAGATCCAGACCAGAACTTGGCTGGAGATCCTGGCTAGGCTGCTGATCAACTGAACGCTGTCTCTGTGTCATTCCTTCTTCGCCGACTCCATCCACACCTTTGGGGACCCCTGGACCTGCTGGGGTTGGACCCCAGCAGTCAGCTGCCTCCTGCACGCCCCCTACTGGGGATGGAGCCCCCAACCCAGGCACCTGGCCTGACAGGGAATGGAACCGTGACCTCCTGGTTCTTAGGTCAACGTTCAGCCACGGAGCCATGCCCTGCCGGCTGGGCATACACTCTTTTTTCATTTTCACCGACAGAAATTGGGGTACAGCGTCGTCGCTGGATGAGCTTTAAAGCCTTTAAAGGGCAGAGAGTTGCTCTGTGCCGCCCCCTGGGTAAAGCCAGGTGTGTGTGCCCTTGTGCACCACTGAGTTCTTGGTTGTTTGGGGGTGCAGGTTGGGAGACAGGTGGGCACTCACATCTGGGGTTTGGGCAAAGAACCGTCTCCTACCGCAGGCATCTGCTGAAACCCCAGACTTTACATCTGGGGGACAGGTGTGTCCCTTCTCAGCGGGGTCCAGCCGCCAGCTTGTTTCCGGGTATGTGAGCACGTCGCCCGGGAGCACCTGAGCGGGTGTTGGCCCTGGCACTGGGTCAGCGCACAGGGGAGGCGCGGAGGAACCTGACCCTCGTGCTGGCCCTGACTGGGCTCCGGGAGAGGGTCCCCGCCCACCGGCTCCGCCTCAGGTGTCCACTGGGGCAGAACACTGACCGGATGTCTCCAGGTGACCCCGGGAGGAAGGGCGGGGCCCTGCAGCGGGGTCTTTATCACTTGGCTGTGCACCCGGAGCGGTAAGGCCCCGGTGTCGGTGTCCGGGAGCAGCCTCCCCCAGAGGTGGAGTCTCCGCGACCAACCCGGGCGCCCTGGCTCACCCGCAGCGCGGCCTCCGGGTCCCCGGCCAGCAGGTGCACGCAGCCCACGTTGAAGCACATCTTGGCGGGCGGCTCCGGGAAGCCCGAGAAGAGGCGCAGCGCGCAGCCCCAGTCCCCGCGCTCCACGGCCTCCACGCCCCGCTGCCAGTCTCGCACCTGGTCCCCGAGCGAGGGCATGGCGGCGTCCGCACCTGTCTCGCCGCCGCGGAAGTCCCTGCTTCCGGGTAGGAGCGCGGCAGGTGGCGGGTGGGGTGCAGGGAAGGGTTCGGTGAGATGACCGCAGAGCAGGGACGTCTGGGTCCGGAGATGGGCTCGGGCTGTGGGGTCCCCCCGAGGCCGGTCGGGGGGTCAGGGGAGACGGACTGACTGCTGGGCACGTGTCCGGGGGCAGGATGTCCGTGAGAGCCAGGTGCGCCACGCCACCTGCTCTCCTAGGCGCCCCCGGGGGCAGGGAGGCCCCGCCCCTTCCCGCATGACCACGCCCCACGCCCCGCCCAGTGGTCCGGCCCCACTGGGAAATGGCCCCGCCCTTTCCGTGGAAGCCCCGCCCCTCCATGGCCTGACCCCGCCCCCTCAGGACTTCCGCCAAAACGCTCCAAGCGCTCGCGCCGCCGCTTCAGCCCGGATCCTGGGACCCGCCCGGCTGCGTGGCCTGGGTGCTCCAGGGAAAGCCGTCCGGGTCCTTCGCTACCGCTACTGCCGGGGCTGAGCCAAGGTTCCGGGCGGCCCCCGAGTTCAGGTGAGCGCCCCCCGGGGTGCGCGCAGAGGCGGGCGGGCTGAGGCGCAGGAGGCCGGGCTGGGCCTCGGGGCAGCGGGTGGGCAGGGCCTCGGCCCAGCACCCTCAGGGGCCGAGCTGTCGCCGCCACCCGCCCGCCCGGGCCGAGTCTGACGGGCGCGAAGTCCAGGTCTTTGCGCTCTGGAGCCGGGTTGCGCCTGGAGCGCGTCCTGGCCTCGGGCCACCGGCCGGCGCTGCGGAGGGCACCCGGGGGGACCCAGAGGCGGGTCACCACTGGGCGGGGGGCTGGGGAAAGCAGGGTGCAGCGCCCGGGCCACACTTCTGGGTCTGCCTCTCAGGAGCCCACGGCCCCCGTCCCCGCCTCCCAGGGCCCCCATCCTCCCCCGAGGTGGGGTCTTGGCGAGCGGGCCGAACCCAGCCTCCTCCGGCCTCGGGGCGGGTTTGCCCAGACGGGCCCTGGGGTCCCGAAGGCGGAAGTCCTGCCACAAAGACGGGTTTGCTTGGGGGCCGCAGCGAATGGCTGCCCGGGGCAGGCAGGCTGCGTACACCGGGCCCGTCTCACGAGACAGGGAAGGAGGAAGTGGGAGCGGCGGGGCGGCGAACGTCCGCGGGAGGGAGCGCGGGGCGGGGAGGCGGAGTGCGGGGCGGGAAGGCGGAGCGCGGGGCGGGGAGGCAGCGCGGGGCGGGGAGGCGGAGCGCGGGGCGGGGAGGCGGAGTGCGGGGCGGAGCGCGGGGCGGGGAGGCGGGGCAGGGGCGGGGAGGCGGAGTGCGGGGGCGGAGCGCGGGGCGGGGAGCTCGGGGCGGGGAGGCGGAGCGCGGGGCCGGTCCTGCATCGCACAGCGCCCCCTGCTGGCCCCGAAGGCGGCTTCCTTCCTGCGCTTCCCGCAGCCCAGGAGGGTCCAGGATCAGGACCGCCCGGCGCGGAGGGCGGAGCGAGACCTCGCTTTTATTTTTTATTTATTATTTTTTAAAATATATTTCTTTATTGATTTCAGAGAGGAAGGGAGAGAGAGATAGAAACATCAATGATGAGAGAATCATCGATCGGCTGCTTCCTGCACGCCCCCTACTGGAGGTGGAGCCCGCAACCCAGGCCTGTGCCCTGAGCCGGAATCGAACCCGGGACCCCTCAGTCCGCAGTCCGATGCTCTGTCCAGGGAACCAAACCCTCCCTGGCGAGATGCGTTGAGCTTTAGGAATTAGCTCAGGCAGTGGTGGGCCGGCAAGTTCCGAACCCGCCGGCGGGTCCCAGGCCGGGCCGGGCCGGGCCGGGCCGAGCTGGTGCCGCAGCTCCCTCTTCCCAGGACCCTCCACGTGGACCTTGAAAACGAGCGGCCAGGCCCTCGGGAGCAGCACAGGCTAGCAGTTCGGAGAGCTCCTGCAGCAGATCCGCGGGCGGGCGGGCGACGAAGGAGGGGACCTCCCTTTGGGAAAAGGGAGGAGGCTGGGGAGGCGGTGGCCACAGTCCGGCGGAAGGGAGAGCTCGGGAAGGTGGTTTCTCGCTGGCCCAGGTGCCGGCCGGGGTCCCGCTGGTGGGCCTGCCCGGTGGCCTCTCTGGGTCTGTAACTGACATGGGGGTTGAGCGCCCCCTGCCGGCCTCGCATCCGTTTTAAGTGACTGCGCCCAGCATGCCAGCGGCCTGGGTCGCCTGTGAACTGACCCCATGGAAACCTGGGGCCTGGCCAGCTTCCTGTGGCGGCCCCTGGCAAGTCCAAGTCATCCTCCCTGTGAGGTCAGAGGGCCCCAGAGATGGGGCGGCCCAGCCATTAGGGACCGTGGGGTCGGGCTGCCCTCTCCGTGCCCAGCGCTGTGCCGTGTCCCCCAGGAGAGGCCAGGCGGGATATGGACAGACAGGTGGGCTCATGGGAGACCCTGATGGAGAGCAGCCGTGATGGGGTGAGCAGCACCTGGACAACAGATGGGCCCCCAGCTCCCGGCCGCTGCCAACTCGGGACCCTGGAGGGTGGGGGTCTCGTGAAGGGGGATGGGGAAGTGGGGGCTGGCCTGGGGACTGTATGGGGTGCGGTACTCGGGGGTTGTGTGGGGGGGCAGTGACTCCGTGTGGGCCCTGCTGTGGCTGGTGCCCTGGAACGTGTGGGGAAGGCGTGTGCACCTGTCCAGGCGGCAAGCAGCCGGTCTGACTGCCCACATGGGGCGCTGCCCTGACCGCATGTCTCTAGGAGAAAGTGAAAGGGAATCGGGGTGCAGTGGGAGGAACGGGCCAAACCTTGGTTCTCTCCCCTGTGTGTGGCCAGCAGCCCCCTCCTGCTCTCACAGAGGGTCGGAGAGAAGGGGTACCCAGCTGCTGGGCCCCCCACCTCCCCAGGGCCTGAACAGCTAGCATGGGGCAGTGCTGCCACTTTCAGGAGAAGGAACCATGGGTGTCCAGGTCCCCTGTTATGGCTGAACCGTGTCGACCCCCAAATTCATGTTGAAGCCCTGACTCCCAGTGGCCATATTTGGAGATGGGGCTTTTATTTGTTTACTAGAGGCCCAGTGCACGAAATTAGTGCATTTGGGGGGGGGTCCTCAGCCCGGGTTGCGAGAGGGCACAGGCCAGGCCGAGGGACCCCACTGGTGCACGATTGGGGCCAGGGAGGGACGTGGGAGGTTGGCCAGCCAGGGAGGGACTGTGGAAGGGCTCCAGGGCATGTCCGGCCCATCTCCCTCAGCCCTGATTGGCTGGACCCCAGCAGCAAGCTAACCTACTGGTCAGAGCGTCTGCCCCCTGGTGGTCAGTGCACATTATAGAGACTGGTCGACTGGTCAACTCTCTGCCCCCTGGTGGTCAGTTCACGTCATAGCAAGCAGTTGAGCGGCCTCAGCATATCATTAGCATATTATACTTTGATTGGTTGAATGGACGACCGGATGACTGGACACTTAGCATATTAGGCTTTTATTATATAGGATTTTTTAAAAATATATTTTATTGATTTTTTACAGAGAGGAAGGGAGAGAGATAGCTAGAAACATCGATGAGAGAGAAACATCGATCAGCCGCCTCCTGCACATCTCCCACTGGGGATGTGCCCGCAACCCAGGCACATGCCCTTGACCGGAATCGAACCTGGAACCCTTCAGTCCGCAGGCCAACGCTCTATCCACTGAGCCAAACCGGTTTCGGCTATTATATAGGATTTTTAAAATATATTTTCATTGATTTTAGAGAGGAAGGGAGAGAGATAGAGATAGAAACATCAGTGATGAGAGAATCATGGATTGGCTGCCTCCTTCATGCCCCCCACTGGGGATGAAGCCCACAGCCTGGGCATATGCCCTTGACTAAAATTGAACCCGGGATCCTTCAGTCCACAGGCCGACGCTCTACCCACTGAACCACACCGGCTTGGGCTGGAGACGGGTTTTTAAAGAGGCGATTTAGGTGAAATGAGGTTCTCTGTAACTGGTGACCTCATGAGAGGAGGAGAGGAGGACCGTGAGGACACGGGAGAGGACAGCCTGTCCACAGACCTGCCACCTCCTCTGCGGCAGGACGCAGTGCGCCGGGCCCAGGTCAGGGGGCATGGCTGGCAGGTCACCCCAGGCCCCCCGCGGGCCCTGCCCTGCTCGCAGGAAGCAGGGCCGCGTGTTGCTTGATGTCCGCAATCGGTGCCCGAACTCTGTTTTCCGGTTGATGTGTTTGCACTGGGAGGGCTGGCCGGCACCGGTCCACGTGGCCAGAGCGGAAGTCTGGAGCGGACGGTGCAGGGAAGAGGCGTCGGGTGGTCCCCACACGGCTCGGCTGTGAGCAGGGTTTGCAGGGCCGTCTTCACAGGCCCACCGCATGCCTGGTGCCGGGAGCCCACTGCTCTGCTGCCGCGTCCGGGAGCTGCGGTGCGTGGGCCCACAGTGAGCTCTTACCTCTAAGCTGGCCAGTCAGACAGGAAACCCAAGAAATGGCCAAACTGTATATTCCTTAGGAATATGGGCGTGCCCGGCCAGTGTGGCTCAGTGGTTGACCGATGGCCTGTGAACCAGAAGGTCAGGGTTCAATTCCCAGTCAGGGCATATGCCTGGGTCGCAGGCTCGATCCCCAGTGGGGGGCATGCAGGAGGCAGCCGATCCGTGATCCTCTCTCATCACTGATGTCTCTCTCTCCCTCTCCTTTACTCTCTGAGATCAAATGTATTAAAAAAAAAGAGAGAAATATGGACGTAAAGATCCACAGAGACAACCGAGGAGCCCCTGGGAGTGGCCTCGAGGTGGGCTGTCTCCGACGCCTGGGTCAGGCCGGCCTGGACCTGCAGGCGGCCATGTGTGGTCCTGTGATACCCACAGCCGCCTGTGAGCAGGAAGTCTTTATTTATTTTTTTTTAAATATATTTTATTGATTTTTTACAGAGAGGAAGGGAGAGGGATAGAGAGTTAGAAACATCGATGAGAGAGAAACATTGATCAGCTGCCTCCTGCACACCCCCTAACTGGGGATGTACCCACAGCCAAGGTACATGCCCTTGGCCAGAATCGAACCCGGGACCTTTCAGTCCGCAGGCCAACGCTCTATCCACTGAGCCAAACCGACCAGAGCATAGCAAGAAGTCTTTACAAGGCCTCGAGAAAACAGGCTCAAGGAGGAAAAATAGGGTGCTCTCCGCAAATGCGGGAGCGCGTCCAGTGTCAAATGCGCATCCGCGGGAACCTGGTGGCCACCTGCGACGGGTACAGCCTGGGCGAGCCGCGGGGGCTCGTGGGTTCTCGCTGCAGGTCCACCCGGGGGTCCCCCAGCCCCTGAGATAGGGAGGTGGCCCTGTGTGCCTGCTTCGGGATCCCTCCGCCTCCCCAGGTGGGACCCAGGCCTGATTGTCCCTCTTCTCTAGTCCCACCTTCCTCAGGCTGCCTGCGGCCTCCCTGTGCCTTCCCGCCGCCCTGAGGATGGACCCCGGACACCCCCCCGCTGGTGCAGACCCCGCTGGTGACCCTGCTCCTGGTGAGTGCTGTTGTGTGGGGGGCTGTGTCCCCACAGTCCTGAGTCCAGCTGGGCTGCGTTTGGCTGCCGGGAGCCGGTCCATCCTTGCTGTTTCAAGGGACCTGGCATATATGGCATACTGTTCTTAATATGTTTGCTCACCTTCTTGGCACTATGTGTTTTAACCAAGGTCACCTCTCTGAGAAAGGTTGTTTCCCCAGGTAGGGATTTTCCCCTGAAGTTAGGGAGGGAATAAAACCCCTTAACTAAGTGCCAGGCGGGTAATTAATCACTTTAACTATGAACAATCGTGCTTAAGCTACATAATCTTTACTCCCTGGAATGGAGATAAGAAACGCCCTAACCTTTGGAATAGAGATTGATAGGATTGGAGTCAACTGGTATAAATACAGATGTAACAAGACAACAGGACATAGAACCTAGACACAGAACCTAGACACAGAACCTAGACACAGAACTTACACAGAACCTAGAGACAGAAGAACTTCGCTGGAGAGAACATGGCAAAAGATCCTGGTCAGAAACTGGCCACAGAACCTAGAGACAGAACCTAGCGAGAGAACCTGGCCACAGAACCTAGAGACAGAACCTAGACACAGAACTTACACAGAACCTAGAGACAGAAGAACTTCGCTGGAGAGAACATGGCAAAAGATCCTGGTCAGAAACTGGCCACAGAACCTAGAGACAGAACCTAGCGAGAGAACCTGGCCACAGAACCTAGAGACAGAACCTAGCGAGAGAACATGGCAAGAGAACCTGGACAGAACCTGGCTAGAGAACCTCGCTATGATGATCATCTGAACACTGTCTCTGTGTCATTCCTTCTTTGCCGACTCCATCCACACCTTTGGGGACCCCTGGACCTGCTGGGGTTGGACCCCAGCATTTGGCGGGGGGAGGGGTGCGGGGTGCGTGCTGGGGCGTGTGTGTCGGGGGAGTGACACGGGTCTGTGAGTGTGGTTTGTGCAGGGTGTGTTCTGTGGTGCACGTGCATGATCCACGTGTGGGATGCCACGTGCATGTGCAGAGTGGGGGTTCTGTGCTGGGGTACACATGGGGTACGGGTGCTGGCCCCCCGTCTGTGCTGAGCAGCTGGTGGTGAGGCTCCCCTTTGCTGATGAAGCAGGACAACGGGCTCAGATGGGGTGGACCAGGGGCCGCGGCGGCAGAGCAGTGGGCTCCCGGCGGGCGGCCTCTCAGAAACAGCCCACGGGTGGGAATGCGGGCGGGAGACTCACGGGGCTCACACCTCGGCCCTTTCCCGGGTGGACGGCCCAGGCTGGGCCCCTCGGCGCCGTGGGGAGGGTGGATGGCCAGTCCTGGACTGACAGCCACTGTGACAAACACAGGTGTCTGGTGCCCCCGGGTGCTCAGGCCGCCGGTGGACACACCCTGCGGTCTGGGCGGACACACCCTGTGGTCTGGGCAGCCCGGGTCAGTGTTGGGACTGGGCCCTGCTGGGCCGATGGCCGCGCCAGGCCGGGGTAGGAGCCTTTGAGATCCTGAGCCGAGAGCCGCCACCTGCCCCTGGGGTGTGCTTTCGCCGGCTGCTCGGTGGGGCTTGGGGTGGCTCCGTGGAGACCGCCCGCTGCTGGAGGCCAGGTGTCTGCCAACCAGCTCTCAGTCCAGCCCACCCGGGACTCCCTGCCCCCGCTCCACCCACTTCGTGTCCCATTTCTCAGCCCAGCTGCGGGATGAGGTAACCGGGTCTGTGTAGACAGTAACTTGGCAGCTGGGTTTTTCTGGAACGTGTCTGTGTCTCACAGGGAAGTGGGTCTGCCCTGCCCCTCCCCATGGGGTCAGAGACCCTGCAGGCAGCCCCACAACTGTCGAGGTCTGGGGGTGCTGAGGATGGTGGGCAGGTCCCTCGCCCGGCCCTGCTGCCTGCCCCTCCTGGGGGGGAGGGTACTGTTGGGCATGGCCTGGCCCTGCTGCCCCTCCTGGGGGGGAGGGTACTGTTGGGCGTGGCCTGAGAGGCCCCAAACACAGGCACAACCAGGGAGTAGTTAGTGTCACACCATGTGGAGCCCTGTTAGTCTAGCGCAGCGATTCTCAACCTGTGGGTCGCGATCCCTTTGGGGGTCGAACGACCCTTTCACAGGGGTCGCCTAAGACCATCGGAAAACACATATATAATTACATATTGTTTTTGTGATTAATCACTAGGCTTTAATTATGCCCAATTTGTAACAATGAAAATACATCCTGCATATCAGATATGTACATGACGATTCATAACAGTAGCAACATTACAGTTAGGAAGTAGCAGCGACAATAATGTTATGGTTGGGGTCACCACAGCATGAGGAGCTGTATTAAAGGGTCCGGCATCAGGAAGGTTGAGAACCACTGGCCTAGCGTCTCTCAGTCACAGGCGTGTGAGGTTCCTCCATGTCGCTTTTTTTTTTAATCCTCCATTGATTTTTATTTTTTAAAATATATTTTTATTGATTTCAGAGGGGAAGGGAGGGGGTAAGAGAGAGAAAAACATCAATGATGAGACAGAATACAGAATCATTGATTGACTGCCTCTCGCACGTCCCACATGGGAGATCGAGTCTGCAACCGAGGTGCGTACCCTTGACTGGAATCGAACCCGGACTCTTTAGTCCGCAGGCCGACGCTCTGTCCACTGAGCCACACCGGCCAGGGGCGCAGCCTCCCTGCTGCCGTCCCCCCTGTGCTCCCAGCGCTGAGCCCAGGGGCCGGGGTAGCTCTGGACAGAACGGAGTTTCTCGGACATTCCCTCTGGGTCCTGTGCTCAGCAAGCCCTTGGCACCGGCTCAGTGAGGAGGGGCCTGGCGGGGGGCAGGGCCTGTTCTGCCTGGGGTCTGTGGAGGGCAGGGGTGTGGGTGGGATGGGATAGAGAGGAGGCTGGTGAGGCACAGGTGGGGGCCTGGGTGGCCCTCTGAAGCAGCCGGGGGTGCCGGTGGCTGTGGGTGACGCAGAGCTGGTGCCCGGGCCCCTGGCTCACAGGTGGCGGCGACGTTTCCAGACCAGCTGGCCCTGCTGGTGCTGACCTTGGCCTGGTCGGAGGCACTGTCCTTTCCCACGCTGAAGGGGGCCTTACCTCCCCTGGGGCTGGCGGCCAGCACTGGGCGAAGCGCGTGCCCGCTCTGTGGTCTCAGGCCGTCCTGCGGGGCCGGGCTGGACGAGCAGCAGGGCTGTGGTGGGGCCCAGGGGCACTTGGCCGTGTCGGGAGGCTTCGGGGAGCAGCCGGCCTGCCAGGGCGCAGCAGGAGCCCGGGCATCAGAGGCGGGGGCGGCGGTTGGGGGGGCTGTGACATGATGCGGAGGTGGGGGGTGCAGACCCCGCTGCACGTGCCTGCAGGCTCGGGGGGCCTGGTCAGAGCTGTGGGCGTGGTGCTGCTGCCTGCCCCCCAGCTCACATAGCTGTTCCGAGACCTGCAGCTCCCGCGGCTGCAATGCCAGCTGGGCTCCCAGCCGCTAGGTGATGCCTGCTGGTGAGGGGCAGGGACAGGCCCAGGGGAGGGACAGTGGGAGCTCCAGCCAGAGGGGGCGGGAGGCCCTGGGCACTGGGTGGTGTCAGGTGCGCCGCCCCCCCCCCCACACAGCCCGCGTGGCCCTGTCTTGTTCCTCAGGCCAGGACATGCTGGGGTTCCTGCCGACCCTGCAGGCGCTGTGGTCCACGCGGCAGCCGCAGCAGGTGAGCTGTGGGTGCGGGTGCCCGGCCGCGGGCCTCCCTGGGCCTGCCCGTGGGAGCTGGGGAGGACACAGGCCTGTGGCCTAGAGCGCGAGGGCAGGAGCACCAGCTGCCACCGTGGGGGCTGCCGAGCCCGTCCCGCCTCCCGATAGGCCACTGTGCCCCTGAGCCCGGCAGGGCTGGCACAAGCACACATGACTGAGGCGTCTCCACAGTTCAAGGAGGAGGCCTGGCGGGGCTTCGCTGCCCTGGACGACCCGCGCGCTGCCCTCCTGGACCTGTTGGAGGGCCGCAGGGCCTGGCGGCGGAAGGGCTCCTCCCTGGAGGCCTGGCTCACGAGGGAGCTGGAGCGGTGGCTGCAGGCACATCCTCCCCCGGGGCCCGCCCAGGTAACACCCCCTCCCCCGGGGCTCCCCCAGGTAAGCCCCCCTCCCCCGGGGCCCCCCCAGGTAACACCCCCTCCCTCGGGGCCCGCCCAGGTAACACCCCCTCCCCCGGAGCCCCCCCAGGTAAGCCCCCCTTCCCCCGGGGCCCCCCAGTAACACCCCCTCCCTCGGGGCCCGCCCAGGTAACACCCCCTCCCCCGGGGCCCCCCCAGGTAAACCCCCCTCCCTCGGGGCCCCCCGGTAACACCCCCTCCCCCGGGGCCCGCCCAGGTAAGCCCCTCTCCCCCGGGGCCCCATTGGCCACCTTCCACAGACGGCTTCTCCCACCTGCTTACCCAGCTGACGGGCCTCTGCAGCCACTGGGGTTGCCCGGGTGGTGGGGGCTAGGGACTCGGCCTGAAGACCAGCCATCGCACCTTGGCCTGTGGGCTTGACCCTCAGCCCCTGACATCTCCCTCAACGGTATCTCCACCTCTGGGCCTTGCCCGCCCTGCACCAAGCCCCTGGCCAGGTCACCACCAGCTGAGGCCAGGTCTCGGGCTTCCAGGGCAGCCCGGGGCTGGGGCCACTGCAGGCCCGTGCGGCCACGCTCCTGGCTGAGAGCCCCCTGAGTCTCGTGGAGCCACTGGTCAGCATCTTCCAGCTGCAGGATGCAGACCGGGGGTCCCTGCTGGCCCACGTCCACCAGCTGCACCAGGAGGGCAAGTTCAAGGAGGTGGGTGTGACCTCCCTGTGGCAGCGGTGCCTCGGGGTCACTCCTGATTCTCGGCTGAGGCTCTGTCTGCTGGTGGGGTCTGTGGGGTGAGCGAGAGGGCTGGGCTCAAAGGGTCCACCGGAAGTACCTCATTGCCTCTCCGCCTGGGGGTTCCGGGGCTCGGGGACCAGCCACCTGGGACCCAGCTCAGGGCCATGCTGCTGTCGGGTCCCAGGAGCCCCGCTGTGCCCGGGTCCTTCCTCCTGAGGTGCTGGGCCCTCGCACTCTGCCCGCGGCACGGGGGCACCCGGCTCTGGCCCGAAAGCCGTGCACCAAAGCCCCTTGCCTGGGACGCTGCCCGGCCTCCTTTTACATCCTGCACACCCTCTGGGGGCCGGAAGGGCAGGGCCATGGGAGAAGCTAGTGATGGTCCCTCTGCCCCCACATGCCACCCCTGAGCCTGGGTCAGCCTGCTGCCCCCCTCTCCTGCCCTGAGGTCGCTGGGCTTCTGTCGCCGTCCCCACCTGGCCCACCGGCTGCTGTGAAGATGGGCCCTCCTGTGGGTCCCTGTGTGCCCTACGGCCACGGCCACACCAGGCCAGGCTGGGAGATGCCTGGTCTCCTCAGTGACAGTGCACATCCGGCCTCTATCGCGAGAGCCCTGGGCACCGCGTCTGCCGCTCCTGGGACCTGCCAGGGCCCTGCCCGGAGCTGAGGGACAAGCTGTGGGCGTCCCCCCGCGTTTTTCCTGGTCAGGCCAGCGGTGGCGATATGAGGGACTGGCTCCCCGAGGTCCTGGGGGCTCCCGGCTCAGGCAGGACCCGCATCCCACCTGCACCAGCAGCCCCGGGGCCAGCCCCCAGCATCACGCTCCTGTTTTGGACGGAGGTTCAGTGGGGGCCACAGGGCTGGCACCTGGGACACAGATCACTGGCCGTGTGGGTGAGGCTGCCCGTGTGAGCTGTGCGTGTGGTGCCCAAGAGGCGTCCTCTGACCCCTGCTGGGGGGAAGGCGGTCACAGAAGCGACTGGAAGCGTGGGCCTTGGATGAGGAGGGAGGGTGAGGATCGAGGCTTGGTGTTGGGGGCTCGCTGGGCTGTCTGTGAGCCTGGAGATGGGAGGGGAGCCTGGCCAGCGGCTCCTGGGGACTCGGGTCCCCGTGGGGCGATAGGGAGCGGGAGGTGCCTGGGCGGCGGCTGAGCTGTGCTGCGGTGCAGGGTGCCTGGGGGAGCCGTGATCTGACAGCCACAGCCTGGGGCGTGGGGCAGGGCTGCGAGCCGGGGTCCTGGTGCAGGTGCGGGCAGGGCCGGGTGCGGGGCTCCCATGGAGGGAGGAGTCCAGTGTCCGGGGATCAGAGACAGTCCTGCTCCCACACCACGGCCTCCTGGGCCCAGAGACGAGCCTGACCAGGGACAGGGCGCGGCGTTGACCTCACACCCGTGGCGGCCAGGGCGGGACGGGCACCGAGGCCGGACCCTGCCCCTGCGTGGGCCCGGCCCTCGTTCCCGAGAGCCCGTCCTGGTGAGGAGGCTCACGGGAAAGTAGGCACTGGGGGCCAGGAGGTGCGGGCAGCTGGGCTCCCTGCCACCAGCCCCGGGCTCGCGTCTGGACACCAGGATGGCCGCGGGGACAATGCGGGGCGGCCCCTGCTCGTGGGGCTCAGCCGTTCTCAGGCTGAATGGCGGCTGCGCCCGGAGGACGCGGGAGGCGGGAGGCAGGAGGCGGCCGTGGCCGCGTCTCCTGTTACACTCAGGCCTTTCAGAGTGTCTGGCGCTGACTGCGCCTCCTCGCTCCGAGGCAGCTCCCACACAAAGGGGGCCCTTGTCCCCCGCAGGCCCTGCTGCGCAGAGCGGCCATTGTCCCGCGGGCGGTGTACGCTCCAGTGCCCGCGCCGAGGCGCATTCAGCCCGCGGAGCAGCGGGCACCCCGCTCAATGCGACGCGGTATTTCATGTCCCGGCGGCGGTTGGCTCTGGGCCGGATGAATGCCCGCTTTTGTCTGCGGAGTTATTTTATTTACATTTTTTAAACAGCTTATCAAGGTAAAAAGAGAGCTTTGCTTAAAAGGGGAGGCTTGGCTCCAGGCCCAGCGGAGCCTCAGAGGTGGGAGGCGGCGTCCTGGGTCCGAGGCCACTGCCACGGGCAGCCCGGGCGCTAGGCTCCCTCCCACCGTGGCCACCTGGCCCTGTGGGTCCTCTCAGTTGTTTTCCCCAAAGGCAGCAGCTCTGGGCCTGTCTGGTGAGGCTCCCACAGTCCCGCCCTGGCCCTCCGGCTCTGGTCTTCTGTGCGGAGGTCAGAGAGGCCGGCAGGGGCCGGGCGACTCAGCCCTGGGCAGTTCCCTCTGCGGGGCCCAGGCCCTCCCACCCCTGTGCCTCTCTGGACCTGGGTCTGAGGCCGGTTGCAGGCACCTGGGCGGGCAGTGATCTTCCCACACCTGCTGGGACACCCACGTGACCAGGCACCAGGCAGTCTGGCCGGTCGCACCTCAGGTGCAGTTCGTACAGAAATGACCAGAGATTGACTCTAAGCCCAGCCAGAGTCAATCTAGCAGAACCATGGGAAACCCCCACCCAAGCCCAAGATGGGGCTGGGCTAGGGGGCCTTCCTGGAGGAGGCGGTTCTGCTACCAGCGGTCCCCCAGGTCACAGTGGTCGCCCCAGATGGAGTGAGGGCGCCCTCCCGTGGCTGGGTGAGACTAGACAGCCTCCCCCTGGACCTGTGCCCTCCCCCAGCCCAACCTCCAGCCACAGAGCAGGCCGCCTGGCCGCCTGCCGGCCGGGAGAGGGCACCCAGGTTGCACGGAGAGCGCTGGCTGTGCCTGGGCAGGAAGCTGGCTGCTCTGGAGAGACCAGGGGATGAGCAGGGAAAACCCTTTGAGAGAGTCGTGTACGGCCAGCAGGTAGGGCATGCCCCTCCCAGGAGAGGCTTGAGCTCGAGCACAGCCCGCCCGCCACACTGGCCCCACCCCAGGCAGAGGCCCTGCCCCCGGCAGTGGGCAGGTGGGGTGTCGGCACAGCAGCCCCCGGACGCCACTGGCTCCTTGGGGTGAAGGGAGTCCTGGCAGGCAGAGGAGGGAGCCCGGGGGCTGGAGAACAGGGAGGGGCAGTGCCTGGCCTGCATGTGGCCTTCCCCTGACCACCTGCAGCCCAGGCCACCCCCACTAGGCCTGAGGGCTCACTCCAGGACTCAGGGGGCGTCTTGGATGGGTGGGGGCCCATGGAGAGTGGGGCCTGAGGGAGGTGGTCTCATCCTCAGAGGAGCTGGACCCACCTGACTTGAGCGCTGATAACCCCTCCTCTGGCCCTACGGCCCCTCCCCTGGCTCTGCACCCCCTCCCCTGGCCTTGCGCCCCCTCCCCTGGCTCTGCACCGCCTCCTTTGGCCTTATGCCCACCCGGCCACCTTGTGCCCCCTTTCTCGGCCCTGGGCCCCAGGAGGCTGGTGGAGACCCATCGCTGGAGCCCGGCCAGGCTGTGGGCAGGGGTCAGTGTGCACTGGGAGAGGCCCTGGCCTGGCCTTGCCCTTGAGATCCGGCCGGAGGCCTGGGGAGCCTTTCCCAGCCGCTATTTTCGTCCTTTCTGTGAGCCTGCAGGCGAGCGGCTGCCCTGTGGTTATTTTTGCTCATAATGGGAGCGTGATGTATGGAAAGTATTAATAGCATGGCCTGCGCTACGTGCGGGCGCTCAGGACCCGGCGTGTTCTCTGTCCAGGGCCCGAGGTCAGGGACCAGCCCCAGCGCACGCCCCCTGCCCCCCCCCACCCGTCTGAGGGACAGCTGCCCCCACAAAGCCGCCGGCCCAGAGCCTCTTCCTCTGCAGGTCCCGGGGCGGCTCTGGGCTCCAGGGCACGTGATGAGGGCTTCTGCCCCCCGCCCCGTCCTCTACCCACTCAGGAGCAGGCCCGGGTTGGGCCACTTGGGTCCAGCCCCAATTGAGACCCCATCCAGGGACGGCACAGGGGTTGTCCCCACCTGCCGCCCCCTCCCATGCAGAGTCTGGCTCAGAGCAGGGGCCAGGCCCCTTGGCCTGGGGGCCTTGCGGCTGGACGAGCAGCCCTCGCTGCGTCCCTGCAGAAGGGTGGCCGCCCCTCCAGGGCTGCCTGTCCCCAGCCCAGTGTGACGGTTCCTTTGTGTTCGCCAGGCTGTCATGCTGGGCACGAAGCTGCGTCTGCAGCCAGAACTGGACGTTGAAATGGTGAGTGTCTTTCTCATGCAAATGCCAGGTTCCAACTTGGATGCAGCCCAGGCCTGTCGGCGGGCGGCTGCTGGGCTTGGCTCCCACCAGGCGGGCCGGGCCCAGAGGACAGGGGTCATGTGTGAGGGGGACCTCGAGGCGGGCGGGGAGGGACGCCAGTGCCCCTGAGTGTCAGATGCTCAGAGCGTGGCCAGCCCCAGGAGCCCTGCACCAGTCTGCCTCTGCCCTGCGGTGGCCACCGGGGCTCCCAGGGGTGGGTCCTGTGAGGACCGCCTGGGGGGGCCTCCGTCCAGCCTGGGCTCTGGACAGCTTGACCTCTGAGGGTGCATGGGGGGTGCTGACAGGAGCGAGGGGCTGGTTGAGGCCTGGTTCTGGCAGGGGAGTGGTTGGCGTTTCCACGTCCAATACCACAGCAGGGGCTCCCTTGGGTGCCTGTGGAACCGGGCAGCTTGCAGTCTGTGGCTGCGGCAGGCCGTGTGCGGGCACGCCCTCCTGCCCAGGCCCGGCGTTTCTGGGCCACGGGGCCATTGCTGCTGGGGGTCTCCATGCTGCTCTGCAGCTCCGTGAAGACGAGGACCCGCCCTTCATCATGGACATGGGACCACAGCCGCAGGGACCAGGCCCAGAGCGGCAGGGGCCCGTGCATGTGCATATGAGTGTGTGTGCAGGCACACGTGTGTTCATGCATGAGTTGTGGTCCGTGCATGTGTGTGCGCTGGGGTGTGCGCATGTGCAGGTTTCACCCAGGGGCTCTGAGCCGCTGGGCTGTGCTCCCCGGGGCAGGTCCGCCGATGGGCCTGGGCCCTGTGGTTCTGACATGCTGGCTGCTCCCTGCACCCGAGGAGGGAGGTGGGGCTCGGCAGGCCGGGCCAAGCCTGAGGTGTGCCCCCTTGCCCTCCCACCCACAGATGAGCGCCCCGCTGCTGCTCCAGGACCAGCTGGGCCTCGTGGAGCGCTATGTGGATGGCTTCCCGGGCCTGCAGTGGAGGCTCCTGACCCTCATGGACTCCTGGTGCCGGCCTGGCTTCGACATCAGCGTCGTTGCCAGGTGAGTCCTGGGTGGGGGGGGGGGGGGGGGGGGGGGTCAGGGCGGGGCGCAGGTGGCAGGCACTGGGAAAGCCACACGCACGGCTACGTGCTCGCACCAGGCGATCTGCAGCCAGGGCAGCAGGGTGAGGCCAGGCCAGAGGCTGGGCCGGCAGGAACTGGGTGAGAGTGGATGCCCTGAGGCCTGCAGCTCGAGTCAGAGCTGGCCTGTCCAGCGGCTCCGTCCCTTCCCTAGCGACTCTCAGCGGGGCCTGCCGTGCACTCCATCCCCGCACACAGAGAAGGCGGCACACGTGGGGCTGTGTGCACACACATGTGCGCGTATGTGCATGCACATGTGTACATGCATGTGAGATACGAGGGTGTTACCCGAGCGTGGGGCACAGGGATGCACCAGGTGGCCTGAGGGTGACGCAGTCTGGAGCAGGCCCTTGCCGCGCCCGCCACCCCCACGCAGCCCAGGTGTCTCGCCCCTTGCCATCCTCTTCCCGATTGTGGGGCCCACGCTGCCCGTCCCATGGCGGTGTGATGTCACAGCTGGGCTCCCCTGTGAGGGGGGCAGGGTGGGGAGTTCAATTTACTGCAGACACTGGTTTAAATGAGTGAATTTAACGTTTCCTAGCTCTGGGCTCTGAAAGGGCATGGAACAGTGGCATCGCTCAGCGGTGCCCGCCCGGACCTCGGTTTCTCAGGGCCGTTCTCCCTGAAGGAGCCAGGACTGGGGGTCAGGCTGAGGAGGGAGCGCCCTGTGCCTGCGTACCTGCTGCGTCTCCAGTGGGTGGAGGGGCGGGAGGGGCAGCCGGTGGGATCCTCGTCCCCGTGGAGCCCCGTCTGAGGACGAGGCGAGGGCGATGCCAGCGCAGGAGGTGCCGGAGGAGAAAGTGCCAACGAGCCTCCTCAGGGCCATGGCATCGCGGGCCCCACGACATTCCACGGCCACGAGAGAGGCCGGTCACCGTGGCCACGCCGGACGTTTAGATGGAAGAGACCGAAGTCTAGAAAAACAGAACCTGCCACAAGCAGCCCTGGGAGGAGGAGGAGATGGGATCGTCCTGTGTTAACACAGCAGCCACGTGGCTTCAGACTGGACCGCGGAGACAACTCAGACCCCGACGGCTTCTCGGTGACTTCTCTCCGGGTGTGAGGGCGAGCGCTCCCGCCGGCAGACGCCCAGGAAGCAGGAGGGGGTGTCGGGGAGGGAAAGCTGACGTCCAGCATCAGGGACAAGACACAGAAATGCTGACGAAACTTCCGCGAGCAGATCGCGGTGCGGGGCCTAGAGGGGTAGCGGGAGTCGCAGCCCAGTTGGGGCTCAGTGGGTGGGGCATCGTCCTGGGCGCCCAAAGTTCGTCAGTTCCGTTCCGGTCAGGGCATGTGCCCAGGTTGCGGGTTCGATCCCTGGTGAGGGTGCATACGGGAGGCAACTGATCGATGTTTTTCTCTCTCTGTCTTTCTCTCTCTCCCTCCTCTTTCTAAAATCGGTAAACAAACAAAAAATAAAATCAATAAACATATCCTCAGGTGAGGATTTCCAGAAAAGGTGGGAGTGAGCACATGAAAAGACGTTCCATCTATGTCAAGGGATTGAAATGGAAACAGCGATGGGATGCGCCCCCGCGCCCCCAGAAAGGCCACGCCAGCCCCCGACGACCCCGGTCGCTGGGAGGACACGGAGCGCAGGGCCTCCCCTGCTGGGGTGCAGGAGTGCAGACGCTCTGGAAGGAAGGCAGCGGGATGGTTTCTCGCCGCTAAGCACCCTCCCCGTGCGACCAGCACCGGCGCTCCTCGGGGTTCACCCGAAGGCGCTGCCAGCTTCGTCCACACAGCCCGCTAGCGGGGCGCATGGGAGCTTTGCTCAAAGTCGCAGCACCTGGGAGCTACCAAGATGCCCTCGGAACAGGTGATGGTGAGCGCAGTCCATCCAGACGGGTTAGTCAGCACTGACGCCCCCCCAGCCATGGCCAGGCCCCTTCCCACAGGCGCCGTGGGCCAAGGAGGAACCTCACACACATGTGACTGAGCGAGAGCAGCCAATCGGGCGAGACTCCACAGTGTGAGGCCAGCTCCGCCCAGGCCACGGGACAGCCCAGGCCGCGGGACAGCGACGTGACGGGGGGACAGCCCAGGCCGCGGGACAGCGACGTGACGGGGCATGACCAGGTGGAGCACAGGGCTCAGGGCAGTGAAGCTGCTGTGACACAGTAACGATTCCCGTCGGGGCCCAGGCCCAGGTTGTGCGCTCGGTCCCAGTGGGGGCTGTGCAGGAGGCAGCCGATCCATGAGTCTCTCTCGTCGTCGATGTTTCTGTCTCTCCTCTCCCTTCCTCTCTGAAATCAATAAAATGCATTTATACTTCAGACGGCCTCCTGGCAGGGAGCACAGCCAGGGTGCGGGCACGGGCCTCGCTGGCGCTGAAGAGCGAACGTGGGAATCGCAGCGGCTGGACTGGGACCTGCGGGGCCGGGCCCTGCGTCTGCAGTGAGCACACGGCTCAACGGGAGCCTCCTCACATAGGACCGGCTCCCTGATGGCCCCAGGCAGTGCGGAGCTCAGAGCTGGAAGATGCACTTGAAGGGATCCTCCGAGTGCGGAAATCGGGGGGAAAAGGTGAAAAACAATGAAATTCTTTCAAGAAGGCCCAGCATCACAGGATGGGAATCCCAGGAAGACGGAGGGCGATCGGGCGGGAGGCGTGCACGGAGCTCAGCCAGCCCTTACCAGCGGGAGGATGGGGCCCAACCTGAGGAGGAGCCGGAGCACACGGCCTCCTGGGAGCAGCGCCACCCACCTGGGGTCCTTCCAGCCCAGGCCCCTCGGCCCATCGCCCTCACGGGACGGAGGACAAGGACAGCCTGGGACACGCACGTCTCCAGAAACACGCCCAGCCCGGCCCCATCGAGGGAAGCTTCTGGGATGTGCAGCCTGGAGGGGGGCAGGGACACATCCCTGCGGGGCCTGCGGTCCCCAGGGGGGCGCTCGGTCCCCAGGAAGCCACACCCCCGACAGTGTCCACCCTCGGGGAGGAGACGGCTTCACTGGGTGCTCAGTCGTGATGCTGTGACTGCAGGGCCCGGCTGACCTGGGAGCTCGCAGGGCCTGTGTTTGGGGGGGGGGGGGGGGTCCTTCCAGGCGAGACGTGCACACGAACACCCACCGCTGAGCCGTCGGGAGGTCCCAGTGAGCCGTGTGACTGAGGCTCGGGGTCCAGCGGCTGAGCCGGGCTGAGCCGGCGGGTGCGGTGACCGCCGCCTTTCCTGTGAGCCCCGAGGAACTACCTGCCTTTAAGACGGCATCTGGGTGACTTTGATGGGAATGAACATCTTACAGGGTTGGGGTTTTTTTTTTATGATTTTTATTGATCTCAGAGAGGGAGGGAGAGGGAGGGAGATGGAAACATCAATGATGAGAGAGAATCATCGATCGGCTGCCTCCTGCACGCCCCCCACTGGGGATCGAGCCCACAACCCAGGCCTGTGCCCTGACTGGGAATGGAACCCTGACCTCCTGGTTCAGAGGTCGACGCTCAACCGCTGATCCACACCAGCCGGGCCGGACAGGTGTCCATTAGACAGAGAGCAGGCTGGGCAGGAGCCGTGTCTCTCCTACAGGCGGTACCCGCAGGCGACCCCCCTGACGCTGGAGAAGCTGCGGCCCCGGGCGCTGACTCGGCAGGTGCTGCGCCTGCAGAAGCGCTTCGGCCTGGACCCAGGTGAGTGAGGCTCCCACCTGCGCTCAGGGACCCGGGGCTGCTGCCGCCTGTGGCTCAGGCCACCGAGGACCCACTGACCCAGCGTCACCTCCCGCCTCTGCCTGCTCCCCTCACCTGCCCTCCCCTGGGGCCTGGTCACGGAGCAGCAGGGGGTCTGTGAGCCCCTCTGCCCACCCAGGATCCTGGGAGGCGGGGCCTGCGCTGCACCCCTCCCCCAGATCCCATCCCCCACTCCTGCCTCCTCCCCTGGGTGATCACTGTGGTCACGGGCATTCTTCCTTCCATTCCCCTCGAAACCAGAGTCTTCCTGAGGGAGTTTTGTGGATTCCCCTTATTTACTTGATTATGGGAATCCTATTCAACTCGTTTCCTGGAGAGGCAGGGCTGTGGGTCTATCACGGACCCTCTGCACCTCAGGATGGCGTGGCCTCTCCCGTTTGGTCTGGGACATGGCGGGCACCCTGGACTGAGCTCTCCGTGTTAAACCAGCCTTGCGTTCCTGGGCAGCAGGCCGCTTGCCAGCTGTCCCTGTGCCGAGGGCGGTCCGTGTCCGTGTTCATGTGGCCCCAGAGGCAGTGGGCCGGGCTGCGTCCTGTGTGGAGGGCGGTCCGTGTCCGTGTTCACATGGCCCCGGGGGCACCGGGCCGGGCTGTGTCGGTGTTCACGTGGCCCCAGAGGCAGCGGGCCGGGCTGCGTCCTGTGTGGAGAGCGGTCCATGTCCGTGTTCACGTGGCCCTGGGGGCACCGGGCCGGGCTGTGCCCTGTGTGGAGGGCGGTCCGTGTCCGTGTTCACGTGGCCCCGGGGCACCGGGCCGGGCTGTGCCCTGTGTGGAGGGCGGTCCGTGTCCGTGTTCACGTGGCCCCGGGGCACCGGGCCGGGCTGTGTCCGTGTTCACGTGCCCCAGAGGCAGCGGGCCGGGCTGTGCCCTGTGTGGAGGGCGGTCCGTGTCCGTGTTCACGTGGCCCGGGGGCACCGGGCCGGGCTGTGTCCTGTGTGGAGGGCGGTCCGTGTCCGTGTTCACGTGGCCCCGGGGGCACCGGGCCGGGCTGTGTCCGTGTTCACGTGGCCCCAGAGGCAGCGGGCCGGGCTGTGCCCTGTGTGGAGGGCGGTCCGTGTCCGTGTTCACGTGGCCCCGGGCGCACCGGGCCGGGCTGTGTCCATGTTCACGTGGCCCCAGAGGCAGCGGGCCGGGCTGCGTCCTGTGTGGAGGGCGGTCCGTGTCCGTGTTCAGGCACCGGGCCGGGCTGTGTCCTGTGTGGAGGGCGGTCCGTGTCCGTGTTCACGTGGCCCCGGGGGCACTGGGCCGGGCTGTGCCCTGTGTGGAGGGCGGTCCGTGTCCGTGTTCACGTGGCCCCGGGGGCACCGGGCCGGGCTGTGTCCGTGTTCACGTGGCCCCAGTGGCAGCGGGCCGGGCTGTGCCCTGTGTGGAGGGCGGTCCGTGTCCGTGTTCACGTGGCCCCGGGGGCACCGGGCCAGGCTATGTCCTGTGTGGAGGGCGGTCCGTGTCCGTGTTCACATGGCCCCGGGGGCACCGGGCTGGGCTGTGTCCGTGTTCACGTGGCCCCAGAGGCAGCGGGCCGGGCTGTGTCCTGTGTGGAGGGCGGTCCGTGTCCGTGTTCAGGCACCAGGCCGGGCTGTGTCCTGTGTGGAGGGCGGTCCATGTCCGTGTTCAGGCACCGGGCCGGGCTGTGTCCTGTGTGGAGGGCGGTCCGTGTCCGTGTTCACGTGGCCCCAGAGGCAGCGGGCCGGGCTGCGTCCTGTGTTGAGGGCGGTCCATGTCCGTGTTCACGTGGCCCCAGAGGCAGCGGGCCGGGCTGTGTCCTGTGTGGAGGGCGGTCCATGTCCGTGTTCACGTGGCCCCAGAGGCAGCGGGCCGGGCTGTGTCCTGTGTGGAGGGCAGTCCATGTCCGTGTTCACGTGGCCCCAGAGGCAGCGGGCCAGGCTGTGTCCTGTGTGGAGGGCGGTCCATGTCCGTGTTCAGGCACCGGGCCGGGCTGTGCCCTGTGTGGTGGGCGGACCGTGTCCGTGTTCACGTGGCACCGGGGGCACCGGGCCGGGCTGTGTCCTGTGTGGAGGGCGGTCCGTGTCCGTGTTCACGTGGCCCCGGGGGCACCGGGCCGGGCTGTGTCTGCGGCTGCGCGGACTCTGGAAGTGAGACGGACCCCAGCCCTCTTTCTGGGAGTACACGTGTCTGGGGTGGGAATTCTTTCTTCCTTCAAAGTTGGGTAGAAACGGCCTGGGGGCGGCTCCTTTCCTTGGAGTCGTGCGGGCGGCCCCGTCTCGGCCGTGGAGAGTCGAGGATGTGCCTGCAGTCCGGCCTGGGCTGCGCCGCCTGCGTTCGCCCCACAGCCTTCACCATCACAGCGTCGGGAGGCCGGCGCAGGCCGTCTCTCTCCATTACCCGCTCCTGGCCGGTCGCTGGAGGCTTAGCTTTTCAGAGGACCCGCTCTTGGCTTTGTCCCGGGTGTTGCTTGAGATGCGACGGCCCTATAGCGTCTTGCTGGCCTTAGCCGTGCGACGCGGTGACTCGCTGTGTCTGCGCTGTGAGATGGTACCACAGTGAGCTCAGCTACATGGGTGCAGGTTCTTCCCGTGTGGGAGCGTGTAACGTCTGTGTGGTGCAGTTTCTTCCCATGTGGGAGCGTGTAACATCTGTGTGGTGCAGGTTCTTCCCGTGTGGGAGTGTGTAACATCTGTGTGGTGCAGGTTCTTCCCATGTGGGAGCGTGTAACGTCTGGGTGGTGCAGGTTCTTCCCGTGTGGGAGCGTGTAACATCTGGGTGGTGCAGGTTCTTCCCGTGGGAGTGTACATCTGGGTGGTGCAGGTTCTTCCCATGTGGGAGCGTGTAACGTCTGGGTGGTGCAGGTTCTTCCCGTGTGGAGCGTGTAACATCTGGGTGGTGCAGGTTCTTCCCATGTGGGAGTATGTACATCTGTGTGGTGCAGTTTCTTCCCATGTGGAAGCGTGTAACATCTGGGTGGTGCAGGTTCTTTCCCGTGTGGGAGCGTGTACGTCTGTGTGGTGCAGGTTCTTCCCGTGTGGGAGCGTGTACGTCTGTGTGGTGCAGGTTCTTCCCGTTTGGGAGCGTGTACGTCTGTGTGGTGCAGGTTCTTCCCGTGTGGGAGCGTGTACGTCTGTGTGGTCAGGTTTCTTCCCATGTGGGAGCATGTACGTCTGTGTGGTGCAGGTTCTTCCCATGTGGGAGCATGTACGTCTGTGTGGTGCAGGTTCTTCCCGTGTGGGAGCGTGTAACGTCTGTGTGGTGCAGGTTTTTCCCGTGTGGGAGTGTGTAATGTCTGGGTGGTGCAGGTTCTTCCCGTGTGGGAGCGTGTAACGTCTGGGTGGTGCAGGTTCTTCCCGTGTGGGAGCGTGTAACATCTGTGTGGTGCAGGCGTTGTTAACCTCGGCTACCCTGCTGTGCCTCACCCCGGACGTCGTTTCTCTTTGAACTGGAATGTGGACCTTGTGACGTCCTCCATCCATCTCCCACCCCCCAGCCACCCCTCCCCGACCTCCCCGCAGCCTCCCCTCCTCTGTGGGACCGGGAGGGTCAGACTCCACTCGCAGTGCCGCACGGCCCGTGACCTCATGGCAGTAAAGGCAGGACTCCTCCGTTTTGCTGTTTTCCTTCTCGAAAGGCTGAGTGACGGTCCGTGTATGTGTGACCCACGTCTGTCGCCTGTGGGCTGATGGGCACTTTGGTGGCTCCGTGCCTGGACCCTGGGTGCTGCCGTGAGCCTGGGGCGGGCGGGGGTCTCTCCACGACCCGGTCTCACGCCCTCCGGGTGCGTGCCCAGAGCCGGGCCGCCCTAAGGGAGATCTGGCTTTTCACGGAGGAACCTCCGTGCTGTTCGCCTCGCAGCCGACCGGTTCTCACCCCCAGCCACGCCACGCGGCCCCTTCCTCCCCACGCGCCAGCACGTGCCTCCTGTCCTTCGTGCGGCCGTTCAGCGGGCGAGGCGAGGCCCGTGGCTCCCGCTGGCGGCGGGTGGGAGTGGCGTCGGCACCTTTCGTGGCTGCTGCCTGCGGGTCCTCCTGGAACCTCTGTTCGCGGCTCTGCCCCTCGTTCCACCAGGCGGTGGGGGGAGCGGTGGTTTGGCTTCTCCTCCGGTCGGTGGGCGGACGTTCTCTCCGCAGGTGGCCGTGTGAGGCCTGCCGCGTGTTGAGTTTTGCTTCTCTTGTCCTGCCTTTGGCTGTTTTGGTCCTGTCTCCTGAATGCCCGCCCCGCCCACTGAACCCGAGGCTGAGCCTCCTTCCTTCCTCAGCGCGTCCCCGAAGGTCAGAGCGCTGCCTTTATTGTTGTTTAACCCAAGGCAGTTCCCACCGTGACTTCCTCCGTCGCCCACGGGCTGGTTGGGAATGTGCTTTGGGGCCCCAGCAGCGTGACTTTTCCGTCACCTGCCGGGCTGGGCTTGCTCACCCCATCGTGGTCAGAGGCCAGGCTGTGTGTGACCTGAGTCCGCGGGCGGGTGGAAATGTGTCGTTACAAAGACATTTAACCTCTCATCTTTTTTTAATATATTTTTTTTATTGATTTCAGAGAGGAAGAGAGAGGGAGAGAGAGAAACATCAATGATGAGAGAGAATCACTCGTTGGCTGCCTCCTGCACGCCCCCCACTGGGGTCGAGCCCACAACCAGGCCTGAGCCCCGAGCGGGAGTCGAATGGTGACCTCCTGGCTCCTAGGTCGACGCTCAGCCCCTGGCCCCGCGGCCGGGCTCCCCGCTCGTCTCTGAGAGCATCTCTCCTCTCTGGCTGCGTGATCCCCATCCTGGTGCTTACTCGCCGGCCTCGCGGGGCTGTGAGCTCTGCCGGTTGGCATCGAGGCCCCTCAGGGCCTGACGAGCGGCCGATATAGGTGGAGGCAGCGGAGGCCGAGGCTGCAGAGGGGAGAGGGGGTGAGGCCGTGGGGAGGGGGTGAGGCCGTGGGGAAGGGGGTGAGGCCGTGGGAGGGGGCTGAGGCTGTGGAGAGGGAGGGGGATGAGGCCGTGGGAAAGGGGGTGAGGCCTTGGGGAGGGGGGTGAGGCCTTGGGGAGGGGGGTGAGGCCGTGGGGAGGGGGTGAGGCCGTGGGGAGCGGGGTGAGGCCGTGGGAGCCGCAGACCCGGCGCTGAGCCGCCCTCTCTTGCAGCGTCGTGTCCCCACGCTGTGGGCCAGCAGCGCCTGGCTGCCCTGCGCTACCTGTGCTACAAGCGGTTTGTGGAGGTGCGTGTGCATCGCAGGCCGGGCCTGGGCCTGGGGGGAGGGGCCGTGAGGCGCGTGCGGAGCGGCCGCTGGAACAGGCCCTTGGTGTCCCCGCAGGGCAGCCTGTCTCAGGAGGACTGGGCCGACTTCGTGCGGGTGAGTCAGCGGGAGGCCGGCCTGCGGGGGGCGCTCACTGTGCAGGCCAGGCCTGTGGTCCAGGCCCCACAGGTGGGCAAGCAGGTGCCAAGGAAGGGCCCTCCCAGCAGCCTCTGCCCTTTAGGCCGTGCTGGAGGCGGGGCTGCCCCCTGACCCCGCGGTCATCACAGCCACAGGGCCGACCCCTGACCCCGGGGTCATCTCAGCCACAGGGCCGCCCCCTGACCCCGGGGTCATCTCAGCCACAGGGCTGCCCCCTGACCCCGGGGTCATCTCAGCCACAGGGCTGCCCCCTGACCCTGCGGTCATCACAGCCACAGGGCCGACCCCTGACCCCGGGGTCATCACAGCCACAGGGCCGACCCCTGACCCCGGGGTCATCTCAGCCACAGGGCCGCCCCCTGACCCCGGGGTCATCTCAGCCACAGGGCTGCCCCCTGACCCCGGGGTCATCTCAGCCACAGGGCTGAAGTGGCCTTGGAGGCGGGGGGGTCTGTGGGGACCGGTGCAGTGTGCACAGGGCCTGGTCATGGGGCTGGTCACCTCCCTCCCAGATGGGCAGACGCCGTCTGGTGTCCTGAGTGGCATCCAGTGGGGGGCAGTGCTGAGCTGCCCTGGATGAGGGGGGCGGCGGGAGAGGGGGTGTGAGTCACCGGAGAGGAATGCGGACCCCAGGCAAGGCCCGGAAGGCAGTCCCCCGGGTGCCAGCCGGCCGAGGGGCAGCGGACATCCTGAAGAATGCGGAGGGTTTCCACGTATTGTCCGCGTGGGAACCTGCGGCTGCGGGAAGCGGAGCCCAGCCTGCTGGGGGCGGAGCCGTGCGGGGACGGCGGGGGGCGGCCCGGGGGCTTCCGGGCTGAGCGGATGCTGGTGGGAAGTCCCTGCTCCCACTCGGGATGCGGTGTGGGGCGGCCGGGGGCGGGGAGCTGCCCACGGGGAGGGGGGAGGAGCGCGGCCCAACCACGGGCTGGTGGCAGGGCCCGTGGCTGAGAGGAGGTGCTGGCCGGTCCCGCGAGCATGGCAGCGAGAGGGGCCGGCGGAGGGTGGGCAGGGGACAGTCGACCGGCTGTGGGTGCAGCGGCCGCCGCGGCTCAGGACAGAGAGCCCTCCTGAGGCTGCGCCCGGCTGCAGGGTGAGGTCTGGGCTGGGCTTCGGGCGTCTACACCCACCTCCCCGCCCACAGAGCAGGCGGTACAGCCCATCCTGCCTGTCCCCAGGGCCTGGTGGGGTCCAGCGAGTGGCTGCAGGGCCGGCTGCTGCGGCTGCTGACCTCTCGCAACGATGCGGCCACGGTGGCCCGGTGCGCGCTGGACCTGTCGCTGCCCGAGGAGTGGCTGCCGGCCACAGTGGCCACGGAGCTCTGCCGGCTCAGGCTCCAGGGCAGGTGAGCCCCCAGGCTGGGGGCCAGCGAGGGGGACGCGCCCTTGGGCCCCTGTCCCTGGGGTTTTATATGCCAGTGGTTTGGAAATCAGAAACAGAAAGCATGTGCACACCCCTTCCCAGCGAGCAGACAAGCAGCGCACGGGAGACGGGGTCCCTCCTGGGGAGCCCCGCGTCAGGGCCGCACACCCCAGGAAGCTCTCACGCCCACAGAGGCCTGTGGGAGGAGGACGAAGGATAGGCCCCTCCCAGCCAGGCCAGGACGTGGGGGGGAGAGGGGGGGCGGACACCAGGTGCAGCGCTGCCTCCTCCCAGGACGGCCAAGGCGCCCCTCGAGGACACGGCGGGCCGTCACTACCAGCTGCCCATCGCCAGGGAGGACGTCCGCGTCCTGGCCTCATGGGAGGAGCTGGCCAGGCACGAGGCCGAGCTCCTGCAGGTGGGTCGCCAGGGGCTGCCCCTCGAGGCTCTCTCCACACCTGCCTCATCCTCACGCCCCACAGCAGGGCACACGCACCGGCTGGTTGACGGCTCGGCCCTGCTGTGCGGAGGGAGGGGCCGCCGCACACGCGGGGCTCACAGGGCGGCCAGGCCTCCCAACAGCCCCCCACCCCCACCCGGCTGTACCCGCTCAGGCCGCCTCTCTCTGCAGCCCGGCCAGGTGGTCGGCCTTGACCTGGAGTGGAGGCCTTCGTTCGGCGCCTGGGACCGACCCCCAGCGTCACTCATGCAGGTGGCCGTGGAGGGCCGCGTGTTCCTGCTGGACCTGCTCACGCTCACGCAGCCGGTGGACGGGCAGGCGACCCGGGCCCTCTCCGGGCTGGTGTCCCGGCTGCTCTCAGACCCGTCCATCACCAAGCTGGGTAAGCGCAGTCTGCCCCCAGCTCCGGCCGCGCCCACCCCAGGGAGGGGGGCCGGTGCTGGGCGAGTTGGCCCCTGGCTTGGTGCCCATCACCCTCTGGGCCTGCCCACAGGCTATGGGATGGCAGGCGACCTGAAGAGGCTGGCGGCCTCCTGCCCTGCCTTGGCCCTCGCGCCTGAGCAGCTGCAGGGGGGCCTGGACCTGCTGCCGGTGCACGGGCAGGTGAGCGCGGGGCGGGCGGCCCACAGGCTTGGTCCGTCCTCTCAGGCCCTCCCACCCCAGCCCTGCCCCGGACCACAGTGACCAGGGTCCAGTCGGCAGGTCCCCCGAGGGCGTCCCTGCCTGTGCCCCGATTTCCCCAGAGCCAGCCCTGCTCTGGGCTCCTCTCAGGAGCTCTCAGCACAAACCCAGAGCTGACAGGTGGGCAGGGACCCCAGCCCCAGCCCCCGGTACAGCCAGCTTCTGCCACCCTTGTCCCTCCGTCCTCGCACTGACCACTGTGCGCCAGGCAGCGAGGGCGTGGGCCGTGCCATCCTCCCCTGGGTGGCCTCACCAGGGCCCTGTCTTCGCAGATTCGGGAGGCCGATGTGCCTGCCCCGGGCGTGGACCAGGCTCAGGGGCCGCGGGGCCTCAGCCTCCTGGTGCAGCAGGTGCTGGGCAAGCCCCTGGACAAGTCGCAGCAGCTCTCCAACTGGAACCGGCGGCCCCTGGCCGAGGGGCAGCTGCTGTACGCTGGTACGTGCCCTGCCCGCCCTGCCCCACGCCCCCGCACCCCCTGGCGGGAGGCTAAGGCTGCCCCTGCCCCCAGCTGCCGATGCCTACTGCCTGCTGGAGGTGTACTGGGCGCTGTGCCGGGAGCCCACCCGCTGCCACCTGGTGGGGGACCTGGCCAGGAGCCCGAGGCCTGGACACTGCGAGAGGCCGGGGGCTCCGGAGCCGCCCGCCCCACCCCAGCAGGTGACGGAGACGGGGTCCCTCCACCGCATTCTTGGGTCCTGGTGAGGGTGGAGGCCCGGGGTGGGGGGGCCCCGGGTGGGGGGCCTGGGTTCCTCCACCCGGAGAGCAGGAGCCCAGAGCATGGGCAATTTCCTGGAGGGGTCCCAGCCCCTCCCGACACAGGCCTGGTGTCCCTGGCCCCCACGAGGTCCAGGGCTGCATCTGGCTGTGCTCTGCTCCGTGAACCCCACTTCAGGGCCCACGGGACCCCCAGGGACCGAGCAGGGTCCTCTCGGGATCTAGTGTGGGTGACTGTCATTTTATCTGTTTTCTGCATCGAGCTCATTGCTCACGATTCTCTTTACAAATTTTTTTTTTTAAAGCGACCAGCCCAGCCTGTGTGGCTCAGTGGTTGAGCATCAACCTGTGAACCAGGAGGTCATGGTTTGATTCCCAGTCGGGGCACAGGCCCGGGTTGTGGACTTGATCCCCAGCAGGGGGCATGCAGGAGGCAGCGGTCCATGATTCTCTCTCATTGATGTTTCTCTCTCTCTCCCTCTCCCTTCCTCTCTGAAATCAACAAAATATTTTTTTAAAAAAACCAACAAACCACCACACAGCCCTGGGGCCGCCCTCCCCGAGTCCCGGTGACAGGCGGCTGCTGAGTGGGGCTGTGTTGCAGGTGCCGGCGGCTGCGGTCGAGGGCGCAGTCCCGGAGATCCCGGCCCGGGCCTTCCGCGTGGTGTGTGACAACATGCTGCAGGGGCTGGCGCGCAGCCTGCGCCTCCTGGGCGCCGACGTGCTGGCGCTGGGCAACAGCGAGGACCACCGCCGGGCGGCCGAGGTGGGTGGCAGGGCTCCATGCGGCCCTCAGTCCCGTGTCCCGTTCGCGGGGTCCCATGTCCCATCCCCCGGGCTCTGTTGGGCGCAGGGCTGTGTGTGGTGCTGCCGCGGCCGCTGCGTGGACGCCACCGGGCCAAGGGCACCACGCCCCTGCAGCCCCGGCCGCAGCTGTGGCTGACCCTCTCCTGATCCTATCTGTGGGCCAGCTTGACCCACGTCTCCCCGAACCCCGTCAGCCGTGCGTCTGCCGCCCGTGCCCGCGAGCAGCGGCCCCATTCCCACTGTGCCGGCTCGCCGCTCCCGTGAGCAGGTGGCGTCTTCCCCCCAGAACGTTCCTAGCGTTGGAAACCCTCGCATCCCTCTCACCTCCCAGGGGCGCATCCCCATTGGAACTCCGAGGGGCGGACGGGCGTTTCGTATGAAAGGCCACGTGAGCCCCCTTTCGGTTCCTTCTGTGAGAGCTGGGGTCACGCTTACAAACACAGCACCAGCCGGGGGCTCGGGAGGGCACTGCCCCGAGCCGGGAGCCTGCTGGCCAGGTGGCAGGAGGGCACCATGCAGTGACCGCTTCCCAGGCGTGGCCTGGAGAGGAGGCTGAGTGGCCACGTGAGGACGGAAGGTCAGAGGACGCGGCGCCAAGGGCCAGGCTCTCTCCAAGGTCTTGGCAAAACGGAGCCTCAGCCACCCCCACAGGAGCCACAGTGAGGAGCGTCCCCGTGTGGGCTCGGTGTCCCCGGTAGGGACGGTCCCTGGCAGTGAGTCCGTTTACACGTGTTTATGGCTTCTGCTCCTCTGGGCGACTCCATGTGGCACAGAGGTTGGTGCCCAGCTGCTCCAAGCACGGTCCTCAGGCCAAGTCCTCCAAGTGCTTCTGAAATTGGGCCTCCAATCTGATGGGCCTCCAGTCTGATGGCCTCCGATCTGATGGCCTCCAATCTGATGGCCTCCAGCCTGATGGCCTCCGATCTGATGGCCTCCAATCTGATGGCCTCCAGCCTGATGGCCTCCAATCTGATGGCCTCCAGTCTGATGGCCTCGATCTGATGGCCTCCATCCTGATGCCTCCGATCTGATGGCCTCCAGTCTGATGGCCTCCGATCTGATGGCCTCCAGTCTGATGGCCTCCGATCTGATGGCCTCCAGTCTGATGGCCTCCGATCTGATGGCTCCGATCTGATGGGCCTCCAGTCTGATGGCCTCCGATCTGATGGCCTCCATCTGATGGCCTCCGATCTGATGCCTCCATCTGATGGCCTCCGTCTGATGGCCTCCAGTCTGATGGCCTCCGATCTGATGGCCTCCAGTCTGATGGCCTCCGATCTGATGGCCTCCAGTCTGATGGCCTCCGATCTGATGGCCTCCAGTCTGATGGCCTCCGATCTGATGGCCTCCAGCCTGATGGCCTCCGATCTGATGGCCTCCGATCTGATGGCCTCCAGTCTGATGGCCTCCATCTGATGGCCCTATCGATTCTGATGGCCTCCGATCTGATGGCCTCCAGTCTGATGGCCTCCGATCTGATGGCCTCCAGTCTGATGGCCTCGCATTTGATGGCCTCCGATCTGATGGCCCTCCGATCTGATGGCCTCCAGTCTGATTGCCTCCGAGTCTGATGGCCTCCATCTGATGCCTACGATCTGATGGCCTCCGATCTGATGGCCTCCAGTCTGATGGCCTCCGATTGGCCTCCAGTCTGATGGCCTCCGATCTGATGGCCTCCAGTCTGATGGCCTCCAGCCTGATGGCCTCTGATCTGATGGCCTCCGATCTGATGGCCTCCAGTCTGATGGCCTCCGATCTGATGGCCTCCAGCCTGATGGCCTCCGATCTGATGGCCTCCAGTCTGATGGCCTCCAGTCTGATGGCCTCCGATCTGATGGCCTCCAGTCTGATGGCCTCCAGTCTGATGGCCTCCGATCTGATGGCCTCCAGTCTGATGTCCTCCAGCCTGATGGCCTCCGATCTGATGGCCTCCAGTCTGATGGCCTCCAGTCTGATGGCCTCCGATCTGATGGCCTCCAGCCTGATGGCCCTCCAATCTGATGGCCTCCAGTCTGATGGCCTCCAGTCTGATGGCCTCCGATCTGATGGGCCTCCAGTCTGATGGGCCTCCAATCTGATGGCCTCCAGCCTGATGGCCTCCAATCTGATGGCCTCCAGTCTGATGGGCCTCCAATCTGATGGCCTCCAGTCTGATGGCCTCCAACTTGATGGCCTCCAGCCTGATGGCCTCCAATCTGATGGCCTCCAATCTGATGGCCTCCAGTCTGATGGCCTCCAATCTGATGGCCTCCAGTCTGATGGCCTCCGATCTGATGGCCTCCAGTCTGATGGCCTCCATCTGATGGCCTCTGATCTGATGGCCTCCGATCTGATGGCCTCCAGCCTGATGGCCTCCGATCTGATGGCCTCCGATCTGATGGCCTCCAGTCTGATGGCCTCCAGTCTGATGGCCTCCGATCTGATGGCCTCCAGTCTGATGGCCTCCAGTCTGATGGCCTCCGATCTGATGGCCTCCATCTGATGGCCTCCGATCTGATGGCCTCCAGTCTGATGGCCTCCGATCTGATGGCCTCCAGTCTGATGGCCTCCGATCTGAAGGCCTCCGATCTGATGGCCTCCGATCTGATGGCCTCCAGTCTGATGGCCTCCGATCTGATGGCCTCCAGACTGATGGCCTCCAATCTGATGGCCTCCAGTCTGATGGCCTCCGATCTGATGGCCTCCAGTCTGATGGCCTCCGATCTGATGGCCTCCAGCCTGATGGCCTCCGATCTGATGGCCTCCAGCCTGATGGCCTCCGATCTGATGGCCTCCAGTCTGATGGCCTCCGATCTGATGGCCTCCAGCCTGATGGCCTCCGATCTGATGGCCTCCAGTCTGATGGCCTCCGATCTGATGGCCTCCAGTCTGATGGCCTCCAGTCTGATGGCCTCCGATCTGATGGCCTCCAGTCTGATGGCCTCCAGTCTGATGGCCTCCGATCTGATGGCCTCCAGTCTGATGGCCTCCAGCCTGATGGCCTCCGATCTGATGGCCTCCAGTCTGATGGCCTCCAGTCTGATGGCCTCCGATCTGATGGCCTCCAGCCTGATGGCCTCCAATCTGATGGCCTCCAGTCTGATGGCCTCCAGTCTGATGGCCTCCGATCTGATGGGCCTCCAGTCTGATGGGCCTCCAATCTGATGGCCTCCAGCCTGATGGCCTCCAATCTGATGGCCTCCAGTCTGATGGGCCTCCAATCTGATGGCCTCCAGTCTGATGGCCTCCAACTTGATGGCCTCCAGCCTGATGGCCTCCAATCTGATGGCCTCCAGTCTGATGGGCCTCCAATCTGATGGCCTCCAGTCTGATGGCCTCCAACTTGATGGCCTCCGATCTGATGGCCTCCAGCGGAAAGAGGGCTCGAGGATCGCAGGTGGACATGGCAGAAATGGGCCATGCCCGGTGCCCGGGAGGGGGCGATGCTGGCCATCAGGCAGTCCCTGTTTAGAGGCCCCATCTCAGGAGCCTGTCCAGGCGGAACTTTCCTTTCCGTCACCTTGTCCCCAGGCCTCAGAGACAAGAGGGGCTTCCCCTCCTCTCCCTTTCTGCAGCCGAGGGCCGCGGAGCCTCCCACAGGCGCTCCTTGTCCACCCCCAGGCCCCGCAGTCACGCTGACGACTGGGCCTTTCTCCAGGTGTCAAAGGGGACAGTGGCCGGGCCTCTCCGAGGAGCCGGGGGCACCCGTGACGCCCGCAGAGCCCGCCTCGCGCCGGCAGCCTCAGGCCTGCCTGCCTCACGCGTCTTTTCCGTAACGAGCCGGGCGCTGCGGGTCCTCCTGTTGCGTTTTGGTTTCTGTCTCGTTAACTTCTGTTCTTATCGTTATCGTTTCCTTCCTTTGCTTTTGGGGTTATTTCCGAGCGGAGTGCTCAGCTCTTTAATTCTCAGCCTTTTAAATTTTACGATGTAAACAGTCAAGACCATAAGTGTATCTTGAAGTCCCGTGTTCAGCGCAGTGCATTTTTCCCAGTTCTGGTCATGTCTGAGTGTCTGTTACAATCACGTGTCTGACTTAAGAGTTCTCAGAAGGTGTTTTTAATTCCAGAGCACGTGGGGTCGGGGGCCTTTCAGTTTTCCTTTTAAAACGGATTTCTGACCTGACTGGGCTGTGCTCACGGCTTCCAGGTGTGTGTGCAGCCTGCTCTGTGGCCCAGGGGGTGGCCCAGTCCATCAAGTCCCGGGTGGACTTCATTTCTTTGTTACTCTTCACCCAAGGGTCTTTTTTCCATTGGTTTTTAGAGAGAGTGGAAGGGAGGGAGGAAGAGAGAGAGAGAGAAACATGGATGTGAGAGAGAGACACAGCACCCACCCCAGACCGGGGCCGGGGATGGAACCTGCAACCCAGGTACATGCCCTTGACTGGAATCGAACCCGGACCCTCCGGTGCACAGCCTGATGCTCCATCCCTGAGCCACACCGGCCAGGGCACAGGGCTGGCTCTTGTTTCCAGGCCTCTGCAGTAGACAGAGGGATGAAATACATACGTACATATGTGTGGTACATACGTACATACGTACATACGTGTAACACACCAGGAGCTGGACTGAAGGCTTCCATTCAGATCTGGGGCTGGTTGCATAGTCGGTTTGGCTTTAACCCACATCTCCTCCTCTCAGTAGCATCAGCACTGTCGCCGTTCCACACGGACACTCAGGTGACTGCAGCGTTGTCGCCAACCGGGGATTCCCAAGGGTGCTCGCCTTGGTCTGTGCGTGGCCCAGGGCTGAGTGGCCAGTGTGCGGTCTCCCTGTCGCTGGGGCACCTCTCTCTGGGGCTCATTTCTTTCGCCTCCCCTGGATATTTAGAGATTGCATTTTAAGTTTAATTTTGTCTGCAGTCACGTAAAATCTTTGCATGATTCTAAGACCAAATCTACACAAAGAGGCAGCTCCCAGGCCTCGTGCTGCAGGGCCCACGGCTGCCCTGGTCCCGGGCAGAGGCACCTCGGGACAGCAGCCGCCGGTCCTGGGCAGGTGCCCTCACCAGGTGGTCTTGCCTCCTGCACAGGTGGCCAGGCAGGAGGGCAGGATCATCCTGACGTCGGGGCTGCCGTACCACACGGTGAGGACCCCCTGTGGGCCCCGCCCCTTGCACCCCCCACAGCTCTGCTGTGGGCCAGCGGCCCTCTGGCATCCTGGTGGGCTGAGGGGAAGCTTGGGGGGCCGGGGGCAGGGCTGGGGGGCCGGGGGCCCAGGGCTGGGGGGCCGGGGGCAGGGCGGCCGGGGCGGTTCTGGGCTCAGCGCCGATCTCTCCGCAGCTCCGGTCCCAGGTCGGGGCTGGGCGCTGCCTCTGGGTGGACTGCAGCCTCAAGGCCCCGCAGCAGGCCAAGGCCGTGCTCAGACACTTCAACGTGCGCGTCACCCACGCAGACGTCTTCAGCCGCTGCCAGGTGAGTCGCGCCCTGGCCGGCCTCGGGCCGGGAGTCCTGCCAGGGGGCTGGACACCGAGGCCACCTGCCTTGGCGTTTCTGCTCATCTGAGCTGTCGCCACTGCGTCATTTTCTCCTCTTCTGCCCACCCGATCCCCACACCCCACGCCAGGTGGGTACGGGCTGCGGGCAAGGGAGCTACTCCGATGCGATGATGTCTGTCAGACCTGGACTGCCCTGCGCCGGGCGGCCTCGAGGGCCTCGGGGGGAGGGAAGGAAGCCTGGAAGTCCTCTCTGGCTGGGTCCACCCGACATCCGGAGGCCGGGTGAGGAAATCCCAGCGCCCGGGACTGTCCGGATCCTGGGTCGAGACCCGAGCGGGGTCGGGCTGGGCGCCCTGTGCTGACTCACCCGCCCTGCGCCCGGGCCTCTGAGCGCTGAGCCCCTGCCTGCCTGGGGGTTGTCTGGCTGAGGGGGTGCAGCCTTTCAGCTGGTCCTGCGGGCTGGGCCAGGCCTCCTGGCGCAGAACATTCTGGAATCCAGGCCCCCATGAGGAGGGGCCCGCCAAGCCCGCCTCGGGCTGGTTACGGCAGCAGCCCCTCCGGCCGCCCCTCCGAGTGTGAGGAAGGAAGGAAGGGGAGGCCTGCGGCAGGCGGGCCCTGCCCTGCCGGGGCCACGGGGCCACAGGCAGCGGAGCCACTCCGGCCTCCCCTGCGGCCGGGGGACAGGAACCCTGTCGCTGCCTCGCTGCCTCTGTGTGCAGCAGAGGGGGGTGGTGCTGTCAAGGCCCCAGGGCCTCCCAGAAGCGGGAGGCGCGTTAATGAGCTTCAGAGAAAACAGGAAGTTGGGGAGCTGGGAGGAAGTCCCCTCTGGCTCCCTGGGAAGCGTGAGCTGGGGAGCAACCTGATGTCCATCAGCTGGAGGACAGGCCTGGAGGGGGCCGTCAGGAGGCTGTACCCTCCGCCCCTGGGAGGCAGAGCTCCCCCTGGTGGCCCCGCAGTGGCTGTGGGGCAGGCAGTGCTCGGCAGAAGTGGACGGATTCGGAGTGCCTGACCACAGGGCAGGAGGGGAGGGCGTGCAGCTGTGTGCAGCTGTGGTGGGCGCCGCAGGGCAGAGGGTCAGTAGGGTTGACGGGTGCGGCCAGGTTCCCAGGTTTCAGGCTGAGCCCTGGGGCTGGTGGGGAGGGGGGTGGGGACACGAGAAGGGGGTTGGGCTGCCTCAGCCCCCAACTCGCTGCCCAGCGGGGGCCCTGCCACCATCCCGTTTGCACGTGGTCACTGGTGAGGAGGAGGGACAGTGCAGCTGCCCTGACTCGCATAAGAGGCCACGGCGGGAGGGGGTGGGTTCTCAGGCAGAGACCTGTGTGCGTGGCCCCAGTGGGGGCTGGCGCTGCCCGGGCAGCAGGTGATGGCACCCAGTCGGCTTTGTCAGGAAGTGGGGACCCTCGGGCCTGGGGAGCCACTGAAGTGCACAGCTGTCCACAGCTCCCAGCGGGCTCAGCCCCAGAGGAAACAGGCAGGTGGCCCCGGGCAGGACCCCCGGGTGCCAGGCAGGTGTTTTGGAGGATCCACAGGCCCCCAGAAAGGCGGGACAGGGCCAAGTGAGCAGAGAAGGGGGTCTCTGAGAAGCCAGGGTTTCTAACTTGAACCCCGCCTAGTGACCAGGGAGGCGGAGGGGGTGGGGAGGGGAGGGGGAGGCGCGCTGTGTGCGTTAGTGCTGAGGCCAGAGCCGGGTCCCTGTCGCAGGAGCAGCAGCTTCCTGCCCAGTGGCAGGGGCATCTGTGGGGTCCAGGCGGCCTCAGGCCTCGGTCCAGCCCACTCTGCTCCGAGCCCCTTGTGTGGCCCTCCCAGCAGCAGCTGGGGACAGCTGAGCGCCGCCCTGCCCAGTGCCCGGGAGATGCTGTTCCCAGGGCGGCCAGGGGCCCCAGGCCCTCACAGGGGGACGCCGACAGGCCCAGAACTCCCAGAACCGGCGCCACACGGTGCGCCAGGAGGTAGGCTGAGGCGGCCCCTGCCCCCACCCGCACTGCACCGCACGAGGCTGGGTCTGCTCCTACACTGTCTGGACGTCAGAGGGCGCTGGCGGCAGAGCGGTGCCCTCAGACTGACCCACGGGGCCTCTGTGCTGTGTCCGCAGCAGGGCCGCCCGCACCCCCAGCCCAGCCTGAGTGCCCTGGACGCTGGCTCCCAGCCCCTGCCCCGCCCTGGCCAGAGCTGGCCGCCTCCCTGGAGAGCTCCCGCCGGTCGTTTCCATCCCTTCCCTTCCTTCTGCTATTTTGGTGCCGTTCCCAGAGGGAAACACACTCAGTGCACGAGCTCCCAGAGCAGGCCTCCCGTCCGGGCTGGGGCCGGGCACCCGGGGTGCGTGAAGGTGGGAGAGGCAGCGGGGCGGGGGCGCCTGCAGCCCTGCACCCCCAGCGCCCAGCACCTGACCCCCGGCAGTGGCCGCTGTGCGTGGGGGTGCCCTGGGCACGGGCAGGCGATTTCTGGGCCGCCGGCGGTGGGACGGGGAGCCCTGCGAGCCGCAGGTGGGTATGGGCGGAGGGCGGGATGCGGCCCGCAGCTGGCCATCGGGCCCGGGACTGTCCGCCAGCGGCCGCTGCCAGGAGCACGTTCCCAGTGCCGTCCATGGGAAAATATTTTATCAAAGAAGTTTGAGTTAAAAAAAGCCTGCGCACGAACCCTGACACGGCCGGCACGGCGCCTATTTTTACTGCCCCTCAGTCCCCGCGGCGAGAGCGCCCAGCCCGCAGGAGGGGGTCCCGGATGTCAGCTACGTGGCCCCGGAAGGGGGCCCCCAGATAGTGGCATGTGAGGGGGACTCCGGGCAGCTGCTCCCAGTGCCCACACCCAGAGCCCAGGCTGGCGGGCGGTGGGATGCCCGTGCTGGCCCCGCCCCGGCCCAGAGACCTGCCTCTCCTGACGACCAGCCCCAGACAGAGGGACAGGCAGGAAGAGGCTCGGAGTGCTGGCCCCACCCTCCCGGCCACTGTGCTCAGGCCCCCAGCCCAGTTCCCACACTCGGTGCCCCTGGGGTCACACAGGCACAAAGGCTGCGGGAGGGAGGGGCCTTGGGGCCCAGAGGCCGGTCAGCAGCCGGCGGGGCGGCTGGCGTGGAGGCCCCAGAGCTGTCAGAGTCACAGGGGCTGGGCCCCGAGTGCCCCAGACTGGACGCTGGCTGGGACGATAGCCCAATGGGCAGGGTCAGCACAGCCCCAGGAGCGGCAGCGGGTGGGCCAGGCTGGTCACCTCATCCCACAAGGCCCCCGGCCCTCCCTCCCCACAGTCCATGGGGCCTCCGGCTGCCCCTCTCCTGTCAGGGAACCCTGGTCCCACCAGATGGCCCCTGGGGGACCTGGACCCCACCATCCTGGGGCGCTGTGGCTCCTGTGGCCCTGACCCAACCTCAGCCACTTCAGGAAGGGCCTTGGCACTGAGCCAGCTGACACCCATGCCCTTCCCACCGAAGCCGCTGCTGGACACCGCGGCCTGGCCTCAGCCCGGCCCTCATGCGTCCTCCCCGGGGCCCAAACCCGTGCCCAGGAGGGAGGCATGCGTGTCCCCAGCCTGGTTTAGACCCACAGGCAGCGCCACTGCCCTCTGGACCTCTGTCCCAAGTGATTCTCATGGGCTCCCATGAGCCCTCGGGGCCTCCGGCAGGCTTCTCCGGCTGCACCCTGGACGTTGACGAAAGTGTGAACACAGGCCCCGTCCACTTCGAGCGGGTGGCAAGCTTAAAGTCGAAACGGTGCGCCCAGCGTAGGAGCAGCGCGCTGCCCAGGCTGCTGGGGAGACGGGCCCGCAGGCACGTGACACCCGTGGTCGGTGTCCGGCCTGTCCACGGCCGTGACACCCGCTGGAGCCACACCCATGGCAGGGCTGATGGGCAGCTGGTGCAGCCTAACAGGCAGGGGTGGGGGTGGCACCATCAGCCTGTGTGACCCTGAGGCCCAGGGTTGGGGTTAGGGCGCCGCAGCCTTGAAGCTAAATCACGTCTTGGCGGCCACAGTGCCCCTCATGTGCCCAGGCCCGTGGCTGCTCCCCTAGGACAGAGCGGCCCTTTCAGGCCTGTGGCAGGGGTGCCCGGGGGCCTGGGTGGCATCTGGTGGGGGGCACTCTTCTTGCTTTGGAACAGTTGCAGCCCCAGAGCACAAGTGGGCCCAGGAGCCAGGGCCGCCAGCCTCAGACGGGGGGTGACGGGCTGACCCTGCAGACTGCTGGCTGCTGGGCCTGGATGGAGGAGGTGGAACGGGCCAGGGGCTGCAGGTACAGGGCCCAGGCCATGGGCGGCTGTGGCTTGAGTCGGGGGAGGGGCCTCAAGGTGGCCAAGGGGTCTGCCAGGCAGTGACCACTCCACCCACGGTCTGGCAGGCAGCAGGGCCCCCTGTGGGCGTGAGTCTCCCCCACCTTCTGAGGCTGTCAGAGTCCCTGTGGGAGCAGCCTGGCCGGCAGGTTCTGGGAGCCATGCCTCTGGGTGAGACCCCTGCCAGCTGGGCGGGGGGGAGGCCCGATCAGCCAAGCCCGCACCCTCCTGGGTGCCCTGGGGGGTCCCGCAGAGAAGTGGGCAGAGCTGGGCTTGGCAGCAACTGCTGCTTCCTCCCCGTCTCCCAAACCCATGTGAGAGGCACAGGCACTCAGCCCAACGCCGCAGCCCTGGGAGGCAGGAGACCCCTGACCCTCCTCACTGCCGGCCCCCTTTCCCCTCAGCCCTGTGCAGCCTCCCTGGCCCCCCAATACCAGCCCTGTGCAGCCTCCCTGGCCCCGTCCCCCTTGCTCCTGCAGCATCCGACCCCCACCCCCCGCCTGGCCTGGCAGGGTAGGTGCTGCCCCCCCCCCCCAGGAGGTCCTCCTGGCCCCTGGCCCCGTCTCACTGAGGCTCTTTGGAGGAGCACCTTGGGGTTCTCTCTCCCTGGACCCGGATGGGGGACAGGGGTGGCCCCGGCCTTAGTGCAGCCCCCGGGGAGTGGGCGGCAGGCGAGAAGGTGAGGAGCTCAGCCCGGGACCGCGGGGCCTGGGTCGGGC